AGATATGCTCCATTACAAGTTAGCATTTATTTTAAGACCATATTGGCGTTTCTTAATATTTCATTTAAACAAGATGAAAGAACAGCATGGTCCTAGCACAGAGGTGTCAAACTCAATTTCATTGGGGGCCGCATCAGGGTTGTGGTTGTCCTTGGGGCACTGGATGGCCATGGCCGACTGGGAGGGAATGGCTGACTGGGAGGGCATGACCAGCTTGACACCACTCCCCAAACTGCTGCCATGTTTCCTCTTCACACTGGGTATCCTGGGGCAAAGCTATGCTGGCCTGATCTTTCCTCTTCGCACTGGGTAGATAAGGATGGCCCCATGGGCCAGATCTGACCACATCATGGGTTGGATGCAGCCCACAGGCCTTGTGTTTGACACCCCTGTCCTAGAAGGTGGGAGAAGTTAGTCTGTGAAGGTTTGTATCTTAACCCCAGCATCTTTTTGTTCCAAAGGACGATTCAGGAGTACATTTTGAAGAGATTTATTTGTTCTAGGAGGCTGGGATAAAACCTAAGTTATCATCCATGATGCTTTGTAATACCTGAATGGTTTTCTATTATGCAAGCTTTCATTTGTACCCTTCATTCCATTGTACCTTTTAAGTCTGGTTGTAATTTTTGTTATGTGGTACATCGACTCCTTATTTAGTGGCCGAATTCTTTGTTTACAGTATTTTTTCTATATTTTTTTACAAAAGCAATAAACAAAAAAGGAAAATGTAGAGAAAATCTCTTTAATTATATTTACAAAATTCTCTCTCACTCCAGTTACAACAAAATCCCTAATTTTTTATCATCCTTTTTCCCCCCCTAATGATCAAAACCACAAATGATGAGTGCAGGTTTTCTATTTCATGTAAAGGGATTTTCAGTTGAGCCTAAAAGCTTAGGCCTCATTTCTTTAATCAAATTTAGTTATATTTGCAAGTTTCATCTCCACCAACCATTCCTCTGTTGTAGGTCTTGTTGAGCCATTCCATTTTTTTGAACAGGTAAATAGCTTTGCTGCACTTTCCACATATGAAAACAAAGTTCTGTGACTGTGTGTGTGTGTGTGTGTGTGTGTGTGTGTGTGTGTGTGAGAGAGAGAGAGAGAGAGAGAGAGAGAGAGAGAGAGAGAGAGAGAGAGAGAGAGAGAGAGAGAGAGAGAGAGATCATTTAATTCAAAAGAGAATCTGAGTTGCAGCAAGCAATTCTCACTGTGAAGCCAGTCTAAAAGTCTTAATTTTCCAGGCAATTGTATTAAAAACAGCTGCAGGTAAATATACTGTAGTAGATTAGTTTCATCACTGTCAATACAGTATATGAAAAAAAAAATCTAGCTGTCGAGTTTATCGTTATTGTTAAATATTAAAGCTTTTGGAGTGAAAGCCTTTCTCAAACACACTAAAGAAGCTACAACTTCCAGAAGGGCTGGCTCAGTTGTTTTTAAAAAATTTCTTCACTGTGTGCACATGGACAAATGCACAAACCACTCTCTCTACTGGACCCTCGGTGGACTGTGAAGAGGTTTTGCTAGTGTACAGTGTAGGTATATGTGTACAGATAACAGGAAACATCTTCAAAGCAGCTGAGCTGAGCTGACCTTCCAGAGAGAACAGCTGCTTTAATACTTCGAGGAGGAGGAACTTCACTCGCACCATTGGGCTTTATGAAGTTCCAGTTGAATGCTTTGCAATCCTAGTTATTATTTTCTAAGTGATATTGCATTCAATAAGTACAGATCAACATTCACTTTCTACAGTATAAACAGGCACTTCTCTTGGTCAATTCCAGTGGCTTGCTTAGTTCCACGAGTAGAATATCAATTCTGTCAAAACTGTGAATGTTTAATTGACTTTACACTTTCTCCCTAAATAGGTTTCCCATGTGAGTCTCTTATTATCTTGTGAGTTTGTTTCCTATTACTGTATTATAAGTACCCACCATCTCAGTGAAGTGATAATGTTTGTTCGAGAAGCTAAATTAACAAAATAAACTACTATAGACCTAATCCTGATCTGATTGACATGGCATTCCTGAACTAATGCACAGATTATATTTTACATCTATGGGAATTTTCAGGTTTGTTCCTAACCAACCTGACATTTTAAAATTATTATAATGCATGTGAAATAACCAAAAGGCCAAACCGAGAGGAATGGGGCAGTACTGCCCTATTTTAATAGCTAGATCTGTGTAAAACCTGATCAATTTTGAAATAATCATACAGAGGAGAGCAATTATTTTTAAAGTGGCATAATTTATTGTTTTAATATAGGCATGAGGAATCTTAAATTTGGCTGTGGAAGAATAGGAATAACAACAACAAAACTAAAATGCTATTTTGATTACATATTCCTCTGTGCTATTAATGTTTAATGGAAAATTAGCACATCATTTTGTGTCTTTTAAAAGTCACATAATCTTCAAGAACAGTTTCAGTTCTTGAAGAACTATGAAAACAAGTATTTGAATGAATAAACTGTAATAAATCAATTTAAACCAACGAACCAGTTTCTGAAAATATTATATACAATGTTTAAAGAAAATTTAAAGATTCTCAAATTGAAATAAGGATGAATAAAACTTCACTATGATGCATGATCGGTGAAAGAAACATCCAAAATTTATTTATAATACATCTTGTATTATACAAAATAATTCAGGTGTAATAATAATTTTTCTGCATGAACTAAAAAACTAAATAGGTCAGGACACTTACTACATGCTGATTTTTGACTGTAAAATCAAGACTTCTGTACCAAGTATAAGACAAGGACTTCTCAGAATGGAATTATTTTGGAAGCTTTGATAGGAAGTGGCAGGTTTTTTTTTTTTCACTTTTATAATTTAAATAGCACAAAGTATACCATTGATTGAGAGGTCCCATGACAACATACAGTTTCTTAGAGGAATTGTAATACTCTATTAAATAGTGAAAGCTATGATTTTTTGGTGACTTCTCCTTTGCCATTAGTAAAGTGTAATCTTCTAATTATTTTTTTCATCATGCTATTTCTGGTAACTCCTAATTAACACTAGAAAATAATAAAATCTTAATGAATTTCTAATATTACCAAGACTTTATCTGAAGCCAGATATGAATATTCCCAGAAAAGTTAAAACTTTGCCCTAAACGAAGGTTTTATTGAATAAAGGAATTTATGCCAAGTTCTGTAAGAAAAGCTTTGAAGACCCTTAACACAGTAAACCAGTCAGCTGACTGGAAGGTTTTTTTCCTTGGGTTAAACAATGAAAGGTTTACATTTTGAAATTTAGCTGTAAGGCAGGGGTCAAACATCACGTGACGTATTGGGACTCCCTCCCCCTTTGCTAAACCGGGTATGGGCGTCGCCAGTGCGTGATGCATCTGGGCCATGGGACGGGAGTTTGACAGCCCTGCTTTAGAGGTATAGATATTATTCTAGATTACAATTTTCTAATGAATATTTTTGTTTCTTGTTGCTAAAATGATAGAAAAACATACTCTCTGCTGTCAAAGCTTTGAGCTTAGTCTTGATGCCTTTAATAATTTTACTTTTGGAGTTTAATATACTGTTTAAATAGACTTGCGTTCCTCATCATAGTAGCCTAAACACTTGCAACAGAGGCTGGATTCCTGTAAAACAACCTCTAGCTTTTTATAGTCATGTGCAGTGTTACTTTTTCGTTAGACAAATAAGGTTGAAAGCAACAGTACATTCTCCTAGAGAAAAAAAATACCAAGCTCATTAGAATCCCAGGAGCTACTGTTCTCATGAAGTAATTGACCACGTTACTATAGATGGTTAAGTATCGTAAAGTGAAATCAGAGAATGCTTTGTGCTAAGGCTAAATACAGTATCAGATAAACCTCGTTGGAAAAGATAGAATTGCAGTTCCTATTGATGGTCTCCGGCTTGGAAAGAACATCAGGCAATCTTTGCACACAACTTTGTCAGCTATTGTTTTCTGCCTGCTGATGAAAGAGAAAAAAGAAAAAGAAAAATACCAAATACAGGCAGTCCTTGACCCAGAATTTATGTTGCTAAGTGAGAAATTTGCTAAGCTCCATTTTACAACTTTTCTTGCCACATTTGTTAAGTGAATGCAGTTGCTAAATTAGTGGCACAGTTTTTAAGTGAATCTGGCTTCTCCATCTTGGTAGAGGACCGCAAAATGAACCCAGGACACCGCAGTGGTCATAACTATAAGTCAGTTGTCAAGCATCTGAATGTAAATCACGTAACCATGGGGATGCTCCAACGGTCCTAAGTGTGAAAAATGGTCAAAACTTATTTTTTCAATGCTGTTGTAATTTCAAACAGTCACTAAATGAATTGTTGTAAATCAAGGACTCCCTGTAATTTGTTACAGGTAAAGATATATGGCCACTTTGCTGTGATGGTATTAAGCTCAGAGATGGTATAAAAACAAAGCATTGAAAATATAATTCCACAGATATGTTTATTGATGTGTACATCTGATCAAGTTAATGAATAGGCTTTTTTGCAACAACTGAACTGATAGACAAATGACAATAGAAGCAGTTACGTGTTTAGCAAAGGTGAGAAGTTTTAAAACAGAGCAATACAATAAAATGAGAACTGATACCAAGATCACTAGAATATAAATGGATTGAAACAAAACTTCACAAAAAATGCAGAATAACCAAATCCAACTTTCTTCATCTTGCTTTTTGAAAATCACTCCAAAACTCTTGATTATCAGGATATGAAGACCAAATAATCTTTAATTTTTAACTTAGCTCTTGTACCAGAGGGACATTGGTCTATTTACAAAGAACGTTGTACTAATTAATTACAATATGCAACAGCTTGCATAAATAGGTTTTCATAAATCCTGTCTTATAAAATAAGTGGCTTATTAGCTATGGAAAGTATTCATAAACTATCCATTCAACTCTCCTCCTCTCCTCCTGTGTCCTATTTTCCATTTTTAATAGCAGCAGCAAACTCAAATCTTATTCAATCTGGCAGAGGCTGAAATTTCAGTTCTCCAAATTCTCAGTTACGGAAAGGCTATGCATTTACTGAATGCAGAGCAAAATAACTTTTCAAATTCCGGACATTTGCCACTAAATCAAAGTCACCTTATTCTACAAATTGTAATTTGCCCTGTGAAATGTTGATTGGTAACCATATTTCTCCTACAATACATAAATGTGGTATTTATATATGAATGAATCATATTTATTAATGAATGAAAAAAATCTAAAGAAGCTAAGGAATAGAGAATAAACCTCATATGTATGGGCTAGATACAGACTTAGAACAGATCCATAAAAAAACAACAGAATCTAAATTAAATATGGTTAATTTAAATTCCTTTGGTTATAATAGACTATTTTGGCTAACTCTGATCCAGTCTATTTATTCCATGCTTGTAAAATGAAAATGCTGGAATACTTACAACACTGGAATGAATACTATTGAATAATTTTACTTGATTGAATACTTTTACTTTGTGATGTCATCGCATGACACAACTTACACAAAATTCAATATAATCCTCCTCTCTTTAGTAAATACTTGGGAACTCTAAATTGGTTCCAATATGGAAATATTATTATGCAAAATTATCATAGTTCAGCTATCACTGATCCATAGTACACACCAAAACCATCCACTAGGAGTCCCGTGGCCATTCTGAAGACATATTATGGAGGGCAACTTGGCTACAAGAGGGCTTCAAGTTAATGTATTCAAATTATGCTTTTCTTTGTTTAATGCTTCAGTATTGTTCTCAGGTATCATAATTTTTAATTTCTTAAGGTTAGAATTTCCAAAAAAGTAGTAGCAGCCAATGTCTCTCTGGATTCCCGAGGTCAACAGCTGTAAATGGCAGGTGTAGCAATGTGACCCAAACTCCATTCCATTTGTGTGAAGTGTCAATGTCACACAAAAGTGGGAAGCATGAACCATGACACTAAGTTCATATCTTGCAAATTTTGACCTTTCTCCTACCCTCATAAAGATCCTTGACACAGCCTTCATGGAACACTTACAGTTTATTTAAATTCTTTGCTCATTTGGGAACCTATCCACTTATTCTTTTAAATCTTTGTATTAAAGAACATATTATGCTATCAGTTGTCTTTCTTTTTGTCTCTTCTCCCTACTGTTATCAAAAGAGGAGCTGAGATATACAGGATGAAAAATTAGTTCATAAATTTACTTATATATACACAAATGCACATAGAGGAAGCAAACAAGCATTTCAACATAATTCAGTATGTATTTTACATACACATGATTAAAGCAGCTGATGACCAAACCATAAAAGAAAATAAAAACCTTCAGTACTTACTATAGCAATAGTACTTAGACTTATATACCGCTTCATAGTGCTTTACAGCCCTCTGTAAGCAGTTTACAGAGTCAGCATATTGCCCCCAACAATCTGGGTCCTCATTTAACCCACCTCGGAAGGATGGAAGGCTGAGTCAACCTTGAACCTGGTGAGACTCGAACTGCTAAACTTCTGGCAGAAGAATTAGGCTGTAGTACTGCATTCTAACCACTGCGCCACCACAGCTTATTATCTAAGAAAGCTGGAATTAAAATCCCCCACCTTTTTCTGTATGTTACAACAACAAAATAAGTGCTATGTGCACACAATGTAAATGATTAGTAAGGACTTAATTTATGTAAATCTGATCTTACTTCAATCCTATCTATGTGTACTACTTGGACTTCTTTTAATATCTGATATTATTTCAAGACAATGTGCATATGCTTCCTGAACACTTACAGAACTTTTCATCTCAGTGATTATTTCAATACTTGATAAGTAAAGTTTATTTTACTTTTTTCTGCATTTGACAAATGTTTCTTTGATAAAGAGCTGGATTCTACCTGAACTGATCAATTAACCAAAATCTTTGTCCCCACCTGCAAAGCAGCTACAAACCGAATTCTAAATTTGCTAGGTATCAGGGTCCACCCTCTTTACTTTCTGCAGTATCCAAGAAGCTGTTATCGCTTATGGCATTTAAATAATAATGCAAAATTTGCTACAAAGTATTGGATTAAGGCGAAGTATTACTTGATTATAAAAACCAATCAGCAACGTTACACTTTTTTTTAGATTTACTCTCATTAACAACAAACATCTAGCTTCAATCTTTTATTATATACTTTAATTCAACTATTTCCAACCTTGTGCCCAGGAAATAAATTCTGGATTGAAAATGTCAGCTTCACAACTGAAACACAACCAAAAGCTCTCAGAGCAATTTGGCTAATTAGTTATCCCTCTTTCTATTTCATGTCATAAACCCTACTTCTTCCCATGTCTTTGCTTCTACAAATTTAAAGTTTATATAAATACATCTTGAAAACCAACACCCAGCCATGTTCTTTTCTCCCATTTGTTGGAATAATCTTTAATGTTTCAGATGTTCACAGAGTGAGCATGTTTCTTGCACAGAGGCTTATCCTTCTTGGAGAAGAATGTCTGGCCCTCCAAACTCTCACAGCAAACCTGAAATAGCATAAAATTAATTAAAGGCCAATGTTCCAAAACTTTATACATAAAATACAGGTCCTCTCAGTACTCAATGCCTTATTGAACTAACTAGATTTCTTTGCTTTTTGTCATTGTGAATTATTACATAAAAATGGGATCTGCAAGAAAAGTGGTGCAAAATGTTCTTGTTCAGATCTTGATATTGACATCCAAGTTTTGTAATCTATTTATCATCTTCTCAAGTTTTCTTCTTTTTTTGTCTGGTTGAGAATCAACCACATTCCATGGCTACTAACAATTTTTCATTCTCTATCAGGAATTGAGAATTTTGCTCCACATTTAAAGAATTTTTTCTAAGTATATTGTTGACTTGGGGGGGGGGGGCAGTGGCCTAGTGTGCAAACACTCAGCTCTCACTCAAAAGGTTGAGAGTTCAATCCAAGGTAGTGGCAGATATTGCTCTTCTAGGGCAGTGGCCCCCAAACTTTTAGGTACCAGGAACTGGTTCCAAGGAAAGAGGGTTTTCTATAGACCAGAGGGAGTGTAGTTTCATGTGCTGCCGTCATCCCGCGAATGGGTCTTTGCTTGTTTGTGCAGCTCTGTTTCTGGCATGCTATGGACCACTGCAGGTTCAGGGTCTGGCAGTTGGGGTAAAAAGAAAATATATCTGCTGCAAACTACACATGGTGTCAGAAAGGGCATCTGGCCAGTAAACTTTCAGCTCCATCCAGTTGCCCCAGCTATATCCCAAATTAAGGGATTATAGGGCCATAAAAAAGGAGAGTTTATTATTGATGTTTGCATAGTTTTCCCCATCTTTATACTAGTTTTCCTAATTGTTGCTATTAAATGTTTCTAAACTGTATTTTACAATTGCAATCATGCCAAAGTGATACATGGTAAAACAAAAATCTAACAAAATTGTATAATAAACATCAAATAATAAGACCGCAATGGAACACTAGGTGTTACATTATATTTTTTTAGTCTTTGAAAGTCAACACTAGCACCATGAATAGGCCTGGAAATAAGATAATAATTGTTTCTAATGTTGAACATAATATAGAATAACCAATATTAAATACTAAGCTTTCATTAGCATCTGAAATTTTAACCCCTCTTGTAATAATAGTCCAACATCTAACACATTACATGTTGCCTGGACAAGATCAAAGTGTGAGTAACTGAGTAGCAACAATTATAATCCCTGATGAACTAAACAATGGAGTTCTGTTTAAATGACTATTGCTTGCACATTTGAACTTCTTCATGTTCTTGTTAACAAGAAGCTGCAGTCACATTCATGATCTGCTTGTGGGCTTTTCATTAGAATCTGTGGAGGACAGAATGCTGGACTAGATGCTGGATATTTTGCTCTGTCAGCTTGGCTTATTCTTATCTTTCCACTCTTCTCCACCTCCTGCACATTCATAATACGGTTTTTATACTTACTGAGCACACAAAACAGGTATCGTGCCAAGTATGGCCCAAGGCTTCCAGAAATCTGTCCCCAGCTTCAATAGGGAACTCACATCCATGGCACATGGAACCAAATAATGCATAATAATCTGTAGAATACATAATGTGGACACTTAAAGAATAACAGCAATTTCAGCAAAATCTACAAGAGAATAAATGCTGTATGCCTACAACAGTGGACAAAATTTTTGTAGACTTTTTCTCTTTGAAGTTTACCAAGCTACATTCCTTGTAGGAGGATTAAATATTTTGCTATTTGGCAATCTGATTAAGGGTATAAAATTTGGGGTTTCCGGTTTGTCGGCTTCGCGAGCGGTAGGGATTCGCGAAGCTGCGCGATCCCTGCCGCGCTAGCCGTTTTGGGGCTCCGACCCGGACGGGTGCGGAGCAAGGCTGCCCTGCAGGGGTAGCTGAAGGTAAGGGGGATCCGGAGGAAGGGTTTGGGGGTGTTGCAGACCCCCTCCCTGGCCGGCAGAACCCCCTTTTACCAGGACGGTGCAGCGGCGGTCCGCAATGGCCGCCACAAAGAAGTCGACAGCCGGGCAAGTATGCGCAGGAGGAAGAAGAGAAAGTTATTGAAAGTGAAAGTTCTTCTTGGTCGACCCAGGGCTTTGAGATTTATCTAATTTAATTCCTGGAAAAGATGGTTTTTTGATGATTTTTTCCACAAGAGAAAAAAAAGCGGCTATTTTGAGGTGCTGAAAGGAAAGTTTACTCTCCCTCCCGACGGAATTAAGCCGGAAGGGAGAGGATAAAGAAAATATATAAATTTGGATCTTGTTGGAGGAGATGCCTTGAAGATTTGAGGACAGAAATATAATTTTAATAAGGCTTTAAAATATAGATTTGGACTTTTTTTTTTATTTGTTTGATACCACCCCTGGAAGAGGAAGGGGGAATTTTGGCTTGCTTGGATTTATTGAGGATTGTGGATTTTGGGATTGTTTTGCCTTTTTCTCGGAATATTTGGTTGGTGTAAGAAGAAAGAGGAATAAAGAAAAGAAAAGATTTATTTATAATGGCTTTCCTTTTTGAAGACCTGAGGGATGAATATGAGCAAATAAAAGCAGCCTGTAAAGATGGCATGGAAAAAGCTTTTCTATTTCTAGAAATGGCGCTGGTCAATTACCAACAGACAATGGAGCAGATGGAAACGGAAGAAGAACAACAAGGAAGAGACGAAGACGCCATCTTCATTGAATCCCAAAACTTATCTAAGGAAGAAGGAAGGAAGAGAGCAAGGAAAATGAAGGACTTAAGATCTAAAAAAACATTTGAGAAAGAGAAAAATATGATGCAAAGTAAATATAATGATAGCAAACAAGAGAAAAAGGGAACACAACAGAGAAGGGATCCCAGCAAGGCAGAGGTTAGAAGAAGAAGGGGGGGTAGGAAGATTTGGTGGGGGAAGAAAGAAAGGGGAAAGGCGGAGAAAAGCCTCAAAGCTTTAAAATTGGATGGGAGAAGAGGGATTTTTTTTAGAGACAAAGGATGAAATATAAATTTCTGTAAGAAAGATTCTGCTAAGGTACAGAAGATGGTATTGTAACATTTATATTTGAAATAGTAAATTAGAATGGTTTAAGATTTAATAAGAAATTAAAATGTTGAAGTTTTTAATAATGATTGATTTTTAAAATGTAATAAAATATCGAAGGAAAGGAGGATACAATGTATTTAAACATTTTTGGTGGATAGAATGTACCAAGCAGAACCAAATTGGGTATTTGTTATGTTGAATGTTAATTTTACTAACTTAGGGGGAGGATAGAAAGGCATCATACTCTGATTAGTGATTTCAGGAGAAATTCTTTTTATTATAAGAAGAGATAGAGGGATAATGAATGGGCAAAAGATACAAATTTAATGATTTATTAAGATGGATTAAATAAGATAGAATTGTGAAGAGTGATATGCGCTATTATTTTAGCCCATGCAAAGAGAGGTAACTGGGGCCAAGGTACTTTACTAAAAGATTTTTTTATGTTTGTTTGTGTTTGTTTGTGTTTTATGAGAATATTGGGGAAATTATTGTAGAAAGACAGGGAAAGATTTAATATGTAATGATTTGTTTGTTGTTGAAACTTTTAATAAAACTTGTTTAAAAAAAAAAAAAAGGGTATAAAATTAAATTATCACCACCAGATGGCAGCAAAGAAAATATAGATAATTCTTTGCTGCTCTCCAATGTCTGTCCCGATTTGGTAAGATGCGTAACAATCACAGCGAAGTAGCTTTATGATAATTATTAGGGACACTGTGACTTTCCAAATAAACTTTTTGCATCAAACAATTTGATTCTGTAAAAGGACCAAGATGAAATACCATTCATATGGTAATGGATATAATAAAAGAATCACATGCAGGGCGGAATTTATCAAAGATTTTCCTAAGCCATGTGACTATTTTGTACATTTTTTTTAATATTCAGTACACATTGTATGCATGTATTCCAATAACTTATTTATTGCAGAGGTGAAAGGGCCAAATTAAAATTATGCACAATTTATTTAAGATAGATGGTGATTTATATAAACAATCAAGTACACCCATTTCTCCAGCTACCAACTCCATGCTGGAAGTTAAATGAGAAGTACTTTATCAACTCAAGGAACTTGCCAAATTTGTATGCTATCTTTGATATGACACATTATTCAAATATGTTTATTTTAAATCTGACAAGCTCTTTCATCTCACAATATCATACTGAAAATGAATGTAGATCTGTTTAACTTGGCTCCTGCTTAGACTTTTAAGAGGTTTACAAGCTTTCTATGGAACAGTAGCCAGAACAGACTGAAGAGCTTCTGTTTTCTTTCCTTTTCAACCTTAGACACATAGTCTTAAGATTTTTCTCCTGTTACATTAACCATGGTAACAGCAGCCTAAAATAATCTGTGCAAGGAAAGTCCACAAAAGGCAGATCAGAGATGCACGATTTCCAAGTGCGGACATTGAATTTGTATCTTTGATTTTTCACCTGAAATTCCAGCTGAAGAGGGACCTCCCATGAAAACTCGTGGGATGAATACTTCAATTATTTTTGTTATTGCTTTGTTACTTCCATTCAAGTTGTGAAAGCTGGGTTAAACCCAATGGAGGGATTCAGCCGGCTCGGACTGGTTCAAGCGAACCGATTGTTAAATACCACCCTCCCGCAATCAAAGTGGATTTTGGGCACTGAACTGCAATGGAGAAACAGGCAACAGAACAGCCAATTTCCCTCTTTCTTCTCCCTGCTCCTTCTCCTTCCCTCATGCTGACCAGTCCGATGCCCGTTTCTCCATTGCAGCACAGCAACAGGATCCACTTTGATAGCAGGGGTGGGGTAATTTAACAACCGGTTCGCCCAGGGTCAGGTTGGCCATCGCAGGAGGCTCGTCCCACGTGTGGTGGAGGTGGAGGACAGGGATGGGGCATGTCTCCTACTGACCCTGGGCGAACCGTTTGTTAAATTATTTGAATCCTACCACTGGTTAAACCCCACTTCCTATTACCAGTGATGAAGTTACCTAGTTTGGGTAGTGAAACATCTGCAAGTAAACAACAAAGCTCAGCATCAAAGACCATTCAACCCTGAACTACAAACACAGTCCTCGACCTACAACAGTTTACTTAGTGACCATTCAAAGTTACAATGGCACTGAAAAGTGATTTAACGACCATTTTTCACAGCTATGACCTTTGTAGCATCCTCATGATCACGTGAACAAAATTCAGATGCTTGGAAACTGGTTCATACTTATGGCTGTTGCTGTGTCCCAAGGTCATGTGATTGCCCTTTGCGAACATCTGACAAGCAAAGTCGATGAGGAAGCCAGATTCACTTAACAACCAGATTACTGACTTATCAACTTTAATGATTCACTTAACAGCTGTGGCAAGAATGGTCATAAAATGGGCAAAACTCACTTAGCAAATGTCTCACTTAGCAACAGAAATGTTGGGCTTAATTGTGGTCATAAGTTGAGGACCACTCGTATTCTCCTTTATCTGTATTATACTTTTTTAAAAATTTAACAACTTTCTGGCATCTCTTTTGTTTGTGAAGCAATTATTGCCTTCTGCCAGGAAAGATGCCCATTGGTTTTTGCTTATTCAATTGCGAGCAAGAAAGAGTGTGATTAATTTCCTTACAAAGAGAGGACTGCAGTAAAAGAACACAGTACAATTATCTACAAAAAAAATAAAAAGGAAAAAAATGAAATAGGAAAGCAAGCCCAAGCAATAACTATTTTTTTAAAAAAATCTATGAAAGCAAGATACATTATATACAGTAAATGACTAATAAATTGCTGTAGGAAATTCCATAAATACATAACGTCCCATTTTTGATATGTTGATCTTTTCCCCCCAAATATTTTCATTTCTACAGAGAGCACTATACCTGATGACTTGTTTACCTAACTTTAAATTCCAGATTTAATCATTTTAAGTTGTCCTCATATTTTCTATCAAATCAAGAACGGCATTTCAGTTCAAATGAACTGGGGGGCGCTCTGCCCCACTTTATTTATTCATTTTTAATTAAAAGTTTCTTTATTAAACAAATAAAGACAAAGACAAACAAATCTTACAATAAAAAAGTTGGATGTGCCCCACTTTAGAGGCCACTAGTAGCATGAAACTGACCTGTTTTCAAATGTTATGTTAAAAATAGAAACATTATCAGCTGAACTGGTAGATTCCCATCAGCAAGGAAAGAATAGCCCTGTATTTTTTTAAAAAATATAAATGTCTTCTCACCTCTTTATTTTCCTTATTTGGGTTGCTATGGATAACACTCACCTGTCTCACAGTAAGGATCACCATCTTCCAAATGGAAAATATTGTTGCGAATGGGCTTGTGACAGGCCACACACACAAAGCAGGAGACATGCCAGCTTTGTTTCAAAGCATTTATTACTTCCTAGCATAGAAAGCAAAGCAAAGCAAAGCACACAAACAGGATTTATGTGTGAGTACTTGAATATTTGAATTAGATAGCTTTTTTCTGTATATTTTTGGAACAGCATAAAAGCATAAAAATTGGGAAATGCATGCTTTGAGCATTGATGTTATCAACTCTACAGCTACTATTCAAGGAAAAGCTAAGAACTGAAAATCCAATAGAAGGATGAGTCCTAGACACCTTGTGCTTTAAATACCACAACATTCATTGATGGTATTTTAGAAATTGAGACCTTTTTAAATGCTGGAAAGGCTTTCCACTTGACATTGAAAGATACATTTCAAAAATTATCCCCCCACCAAACTTCTGGGGATAATCATAATGAGTCTATTCACCTCTTCTTAAAGAGCTGATGCTAAAACTTTGGCTTTCACATCTAGTATAGCCTTTCCCAAACTACATAGCATTAGCAATATATACTTACTTATACACTGTCCCACAGTGCTTTACAACACTCTCTGGGTGGCTTACAACATCAGGGTATTGCCCCCATCAACCTGAGTCCTCATTTTACCAACCTTGGAAGGATGGAAGGCCGAGTCAATCATGAGCTGGTCAGGATCAAACTTCTGGCAGTGGGCAGAATTAGCCTGCAATACTGCATTCTAATCACTGGGCCATCACAGCTCCTCTGATAAAGTTACTCTCAAACTCAACTCCTTTTGGCTCTACAGATACATCTATGCAGTTTTCCTGTCAGTATTATCACAGTAGTTTTGTGATTGCCTCCTTCTATGATGTTTTTCTATTTTCCAGACTTATCCATTGCTCTGGAATTCCTGGTGTTTTCCATTCAAGTATTAACCAGATCCAGGTTGCTTCCAATCCCAGAGAACAGTAGCCCAGGTGCTGAGACTGGGATTAAGATACAATAGGATATTCTGGAAAGGGAAAACCCTAGAGAAAGGCAATGCACAACTCTAAAGATAATTCTAATTTTGAAACCGAGATTAAGGAATTATTTTATTGCTCCTGCATCAATATTTACAGAAACAGCTAGTTTGAGTATGTGAGTTATCTACTCTATAATGTTAATTACAAATTGACATCTTACTTACTCCAAGTATCTTCCTCTGACATCGGGCACATTCTGGGGCAAAGAACTTCTCATAGCAACCCTCGCAGTAAAATGCTCCCTTCTCTTCCACAAAACCAATATAAGCCATGGAAGTTTTGCAATGAGCACAATTGAACTCTTCAGGGTGCCAGGACTTCCCCAATGCTACGAGGAAAGGCCCTCTGTTTCAAATAAAAATGAACATTAATTTTAAACTCCATGTTTAATAAAATGCAATCGAATGTCTACTTTCTATCTTCTTTCAGCAGGCAGAAGGCAAAATTTATTGCTAGACAGAAAAAAACTTCTACTGGATTTTTTAAAATATCGAGATACAACTAATTCCATTAACAAGCACTTGTCTTGGTATCATTCAAAGTAAGCAATTAATGGATATTTTCATCTCTTAAAAGACAAATTCTGAAAAAAAGCACAGCAGCTAAAGACAAACCCAGTTTTGGCACATAAGATCCTGAAGACCCAAAAGTGATGTAAGAGATATTCGAAGTACACTATATGTTATCCAAGAGTAGAATAAATACAGGTTTCACAATGTGCTTCACCTTGGAATGGAATGCTTATGCTTTAATATAATTAAAATGAAACATTTTATTTCCCCCCCAAAATGCTTCTAGAATAAGGTAGACCTTTCTGATTCTACCAAGATACATCTAGACATGTGATAGAAAATTCTTATACTCTGATATGTTCACCATAAGGTTTGAATGTATTGTTTTTGTTTAGTTCCTCTAAACCAAAAAGCAAAATTAAATCAACCAAAGTGAAAATGCCATCACTTTGCTAAACAACTAATTCCCATAACACTATCAAACTATTTACGAAGACTGTATTACTATTATTCTTCCCATCCTTCCTATTACCTATCTGCTCCCACTTATGACAATAACCTTGTTGCTTCTATCTCTACGATTTATATTGTTTTATTTAGTAACCTATGACTATCACTAAGTGTTGTATCTTACGATTCTTGATGAATGTATTTTATTTCTTTTTATGTACATTGAGAGCATATGCACCAAAGACAAATTCCTTGTGTGTTGAATCACACTTGGCCAATAAAGAATTTTATTCTATTCCTATTCTATTCTGTTCTGTTCTAAAAGTTTCAAAAAAAAAAAAAAGAATGCATGCCATTTCATCTGTAGAACTATATTCTGCCTATGTATAAAACACAGGTTAATTATTTCTCAAATATTACAAAGCAGTGTTTTTCCCCATGTTTGAACCTTTAAAAATCATTTGAAAAATACAGACACTTGAATTCTACAGGTAACCTTGTTGCTCTGTGGATATCTGAACAACTGGTCCTGCTCGATACCCTCTAACCTCTGTACAGGCACCTTTTAACATCAATGCTCTTTCAGCTATGTAGAAATCCAATTTAAGTCCTTATGTATAACAAACTGCTCTCTTCTCACAGCACAGGCTAATTTATGAGGCTCATTAGAAAACACCAAGTCTGAGTAGGACTTCTGGCCCTACTTAGGATCAAGTTTCCAATTGTCTGCACTAAAAATACAGTCTTGGAAGAAAACATAATAGGAACTTGGAAGGACGACTAAGTATTTTGATACTACCAGCTACATTTAGCAGAGAATATTTGAACTTGGTGTGCTTTAATTTTCTTCAGCCATTTAAGAATCTTAATATTTTGAAGCTTATACCTGAAGAGGAGTAAAGCTCCAGTGTGGAAAAAGCAAATTATTATTTCCAGTATTTCAAATTTTGAATGAATCAATAAATTCTGCAGCTGAGACTACCATTGAGGAAGTGAACATAGAATTTTTTTCATTGATTTTATTGTAAATACTGTGCATGAACTCAGTGGAAATCACATGTGGGCAAGAAAACATAATATAGTTGACAGAAAAGCATCAACTAGATTTATATTCCAAGCAAAGATGGACAGCATCAGCAGTAATCCTTTTAAATATGAAATTTATGTAAATCAAGTCAACGTTCTGTTTCATGAATGAAAATAATTTGGATGAAATGCATAAATGCATAGCTGTTTTGTAGTCTGAGGTAGCCAACTATGACTACGTCAATGGAAAATAAAATATTGAGTTAAGTCACGGATGTGCTTCCATAGCTGGGAAAAAATGCTTCTGTAGAGGTCATTTGCTGGAACTGTTAATATTTATGCAAGACAATGAGTGAAAAGGTATATATAGAAAATCCATATTCTTTGGAAAACAGTTGGTTAAATTGGTGTTTTTTATACTATTAAGTAAGCAAATGTCTATGAAGATTTTCAGTCATCCAGGTCATGGTTGTCCCAAAGGTGCTTTTTAAGAGGCAACTGGTCTTTCTGGTTTTTCTTTGAAGATATTTCGCTTCTCATCCAAGAAGCTTCTTCAGTTCTCTCTCTCACTCTCTCTCAGAGCTGAAGAAGCTTCTTGGATGAGAAGCGAAACATATTCAAAGAAAAGCCAGAAAGTCCAGTTGTCTCTTGAAAAAGCACTTTTGGGACTATTAAGTAAGTACAAAGTAGCTGATCTATTACCAGAAGCTGTCATGATTTTAAAGGTTCATGAAGGCATGATAAAAATGCAACTTTATCTTAAAGTATGTTTTCCCAAGAGTTTTCCATTTCTTTTGGCAGTTAAATTGCACTTTAATTTCTCATTTATCTTGCAGAAAATTTCTTTAGTTAGGGAGAAAAAGAATTTAAAGAAATTCATACTTTTTTTAAAAAAAAATCCCTTTCATGTAAATGATAGAGAAATATGTCAATACCAAGATTCTAAGTTGACAAGTTTAATTGTTTTATTCAATGATATTCTGAGACTTTTCAGCTGTTGCATATAGCAATCTATTAGAATTTTACTACAAATATTTCACAGATATAATACACAGGAAAAACCTGATCTTGATATTGCAAAATGGAACGAGAGCCTGTAATAAGATTGCAAAAAAGTGTGGTAACTTTTAGATAAATGTATCAATAATTTAAGGATATTAATTAAAAAGTTATAAGATACTCTATCTTAAATTTGGGGGACTTGTACATCATGGTTATTTCATGCATTAGTGTAAAGTAACCAGGTGTACAATGCGTTTGGCTGCAACACAGGTGTGCTGTGGAATGTCACTTGATCCAGTTCTTACCTTTTCACAGGTAATACTGCCTCAAAGGGCATGAACTGTAATTATACTAAAACCTGAACCCCAAAAGCTGAAGGCTATCATAAGCTTCCCAAAGTATTGTGCTGCAACAGTAGGGAAACAACATGATATAATCTTTATAAGAATGCCAGGTGATTCTATATAACCTTCTCACTTGTCTTTTCTTTTACTTTCTGACCCTGTGTGAACATCCACTTCTAATAATATGCCCATATAAGCCATAAGCTTGATATTATACCAATCAATACTCAATAAAACAATTCCTCCTGAAAATTTCTGGATTCTATGATTGAGACAATTATGATAACCAGTAAAATACTTACAGTATTTCAACTATGTAAGAATTCACATGCTTGCACAATTTTTAGTGGACCAAAATGGATACTTCCTCAGCTTTCTGTTATGTTCCGAATGGAAGCATGTATTCATTTTACTGACCATATTGTATGAACCTTATTAATTAGCATTTATTTGTTGTATTATGAAATCACTATGTTCAAGAGTTCAACTCAAGAATAGCACTGAAGTAGTTTCAATCAATGAGTTACAATTACTCATATACAAGTTCCTTGTAGAATAAGAGGTGCCGTCCTGCACCTCATGTATATACAACAATCGTGTATATAGAAAATAGTACCAACCTGATGACTTGATTGCACTGAGCACACATTGGAGTCCGCTTGCCTGCTGGAATATGCTCTGCTCTCTGAACCAAAGTATCTTCATTGGTTTGCAGAGGTGCAGCTGCAGCTTTCTCACCAGAGGTTGTATTATTGTTGGAAATCCATCCACTTCCAGCTGCCATGAATCGAAATGGGACAAAACTGAGCTTACAAGGAGAAATGCTAGCAACCCCAGTGTTTTAGTATATAAATGCAGAAAGAAATATATTGATATAAATAAGTATGCAATCATTAGGGATATATCTAGCATTCAAATGATTTGCTTCACTTAACACCTGTGAGCATCTTTGAGTGATGAATTCAAGTGCATCTTTTGCAAGACTTTTGTGACCATTTTTAAAGTTGTTTCTGGTTGCTTCTGTATATGCATGAATGCCCTTTATGGAACAGAGATGCTTTCAAAACTAGAAACCAAGAGATGCAAATAAACTGTGATGTGCTTGATTCACAATCTCTCAGGTTAAAAAGAACCTCAAATCCTTTGTAGAGAGATAATGCTGAAATGCTTATTTTCATGACTGTGATATAAAGTATTCCTTGACAGGAATTCCTTGTTTCCTATGAGGGTTCTCACCCCATACCTGGACTTGAGACCAGACTATCATGAATCCGGGTTTATCTGTATCCTCTAAGACCCTCTGTATTTTATAATTAACATATTTTATACATTCATTCTTTGGTTCTCTAGAATCTCACGTCCAAGACGTACATGACATAATCATAAGAAAAAAAGGAAATAAAAAAATTTAATCTAAGATTCAAGACTGAATATATTCTTTGGAATATAACTGAACTTTTTTAAAAAAAAAAAAAGTATATAAAGACTACATTTCTGAATGGAGTTTAAAGTCTAGTTCTATTGCAAAAATGTCCTTCACAATGGACAAAGGAATTCATTTTAAAAAAAAACTGTAACTGGTAAGAGATTTCTAGCATATTAAAGTATTCTAGTCAATCTGCATTACTTTGACTTTAAAGGCTAACTCCCATTAAACAGTTTATCCAGAATTGTCTAATTCTAATTCTAGAAAGGCTTATTAAATAAACTTTATTCTATCTCAGCTGGACAATTACATGAAGCAAATAAGAAAACATACTCATTAGCAGGCAAAGAACTAATCATACTTTTCCCTTTGTAGCGTACTAAAAAGAAATCCTAAGTGGTGAGATATTTGAAATATGCATCAGAAATAAATTCCTTCAAAGAGGATCTTCACATAAGGATTGTGTACTTTGAAAATAGTGCTTTTACCCTTGGGAACATCCCAGTGAATTTTAAAAAAATCCACACAACATTGCATGCAGCTAAAAGGGAAATTAAAGAACAAGCAACAAAGGATTTCAACAAAAAAGGCAGGGTAAAAGTCAACCATGTCTGAAATGCTGAATTACTGGCAGATAACCATAACATACAAGAGGGTTAATAAATGAACATAATACAAAAATAATTCAAAGTAAAGAACATCAGTAGAAGTAGAAATACTTTGTATGCAAAAGAAGTCCAAGTCCAGACTTTCTCATCTCTACAGAGGATCTGGAAAAAATATCTTATTGGGAACACTACAGAACTACTGCTAGCTAGTACAAAGAAATAAAGTAAAGCAAATGTAAAGGAGTCCCTGCGGGTTTTACTCTGCTAGACATTGCCGACTGTAGGGGGGTTGCTTACTTAGTTCCAAGGCCATTGAGCCGCACAGTCTGAAGACATTTCCATAGTAATCATGGAGTATTGTTAACTAAGCCTTTCATGGCTTGGGACCAAGTTATCTGAGGGACCGTATTTGCCAGTCACATCTACCAGACCCATCAGAGCTGGGAGATAGGGAACACTGCGGGTCTCATCCCCTAGAGAGATACACCTGGTAAGAACTAGAAAAGGGGCCTTCTCCATGGTGGCTCCCTGTCTTTGGAACATCATTTCCCCAGAGATTAAAATGGCTCCCACTCTCTTCCAGAAGGCGCTGAAGACCTGATGCTGCCAGTAGGCCTGGGGAACCCAAAGCAAGATGGAGCCCATTAAATGGCTCGTGTGATCTGCTGTTGCCAGGGCAGGGGGTGGGGGGTGATTCTATCTTATATTATTTGATTCTTTTTTATTAGTTTTGTTTTAAATGAGGTTTTATATTCTGTAAGCTGCCATGAGTCACCATGCGCAAATAGGCAGCAATAAAAATTAAATAAATAAATAAAATAACTTCCCTCCGAAATACTCGCATTTCCATGCTTTCAAACTGCTAGGTAGGCAGGAGTTGGAGAAAGGACGGGAACTCACCCCATCATGTGGCACTCGGGTCTAGAGCATGAGCTGCCAGCTTTCCAGCTGATGAGCTCAGCATCTTAACCATGGAGCCATCAAGTGCCACTCAAGTCCAAAAAAAAAATAAAAAATAGATAACACCAATTAGCAGGGGCGGGATTCAAATTTTTTAACAACCGGTTCTGTGGGTGTGGCTTATTTGGTGGGCATGGCTTGGTGGTCATGTGACTAGGTAGACGTGGCTTGGTGGTCATGTTATTGGCTGGGCGTAGCCAACTCAATATCCCTCACATCGAGGCACGCATCTCCTCGCCTGGCCTCTCATGACTGTGGGGATGCTGCAACAGTCATAAGTTTGAAAAATGGTCATAAGTCACTTTTTTCAGTGCCATTGTAACATTGAATGGTCACTCCACACAAGCAAAGTACCAGAAAAGGAAGGGGAAAAAACTCCAGAGACGTTCCTGAGACAGGAAGTCTAATCCTGCCAAGAATGTAACAAGGGTTAATGGAGAGGCAGTTTCTGTAAGCAACTCCAGAATGTTTCCTTCCTGCCTTCCTTACAGGATTAGGCCAGTAATTTTTTCTAACAACCAGTTCTCCGAACTGCTTAGAATGTTAATAACTGGTTCTAGCGAATAGGTGCAAACTGGTAGAATCCCACCCCTGCCAATTAGGTGTCCTAAATTCTTAAGTGTGTTATTTGCTTTTCAATCTTTCTGACAGGGCCTTGTAGTAAGTAGCATTAACTTTATAGCCATATCTGAACAGAGGTTCAACACAAACAGCCCCTATCTTATTCTACCAGACCACCCCTTATTTTTTGTCCTACAGTCCCTATTTTGCATCTTTTCTTTTAGAAATAATGCAAAAACAGCTCCGTTTTCTGCCATAATAAATATCTTGGCATGCTTTTAGTTCTGCCTATAGTCAAATTCATTAAGGTGTATTTATCAAAGGCAGTTTAGTCACACACCTTTTCTGCCTGATTAAACTTCAAAGTCTAACAAACTGTTGAAGTTAAGAGATAAGACTGGCACCTTCTAAAATCTTTTCAGCCCTAAAGTGACAACAGTCGATAATTTTCTTTCAACCTCTTTTCACTAAAGTGTGATAAACACCTGTAGATATTTATGATGCAGCATCAGGATAACCTTATCCTGACAAATAAATAACGACAGTAAAAGAAACAGGAAAGGTTTCTAGAGAAATGGGTACAATAAATAAGTAATTGGTCAGCTTTTCACTATAAAGAAACGCCATATTCTTTAAAATCGGCTCTTTTCTGTCTCTGAGGCATTCCATTGTGACCCAGTGATCACAGTAATTTATTTTGAACTATAAATGCTCTTCAGGTCTACAAATAAACACCAGATAAAAGGGGAGCAAGAAAAATAATGTTGAAGAGTGCTGTTGTTTCTGACAAATGGCACTTTTGAGCACTACCTTTGAGAGTTTACCGCTTCATTTTCAACTCCCAGCAAACAGGAAAATTGTCAGAGCATTTTCTTGAGATTACTGAAGCAACTATGTAATTATGGATTTTTCCTGATTATAACACCCCAGGTAGCAGTCTAATGCATTTGCTGAGAATTTTCATTGTGTTTGAAAAGTTCTCTTTTAAAAGGTTGCACTTATCCAAGTTAGATTTTTATAGGAGCAGAGTGTTGCTACTCGGGTAACATTAAACACCTAGGAGAACCTCTGGGACCTCATTTTCTTCGTATATTCCAGGTAAAACCTGGAAATGATTATGGACGATGACACTGAACTTTTGATGAGCTGTATCCCCTCTGCGATTCTCCAATCCCTTTTAAAACTTCTTTGTCTTGATCCTGGCCCAACACTTCCAATTAAAATGTACAATTTCCATTAATTAGCACTGTTTCAATTGCTGGATTGTTGCAGCATCTGGAATTATGAACAATTCAGAGGCGAATGTCTGAAATTATGAACAATTCAGAGGCGAAGGACAGAGATAGACAGGCATGATTTGGGAGGCATGAGACTCATTAATAGCCCACAAAAGTCACACTTTGTCTGCTGTGATTTTGTTTCCCCAATTAGGTTAGAAATAAAAACATGTTATTGCACATCATTTTCATGAAAGTCAATAATGAATTCTGAACTGCACTTGGGAAGCAAAGCATTAAATAAAAATGTGAATTCATAATGTATTACAGCTGGTGTCAAATATTTTGTTCTAAAGGAAAAATGTCCTTGTCTTTATCATTAACATGAAAAGGGTGGAAAGTTACCAGCTCAGCTAGTCCTCGACTTACAACCACAATTGAGCCTAAAATTTCTATTGCTAGGCAAGTCAGGTGTTAAGTGAGTTTTGCCTGAATTTTTACAACCTTTTTTACCAAGTGAATCACTGCAGTTGCTAAGTTAGTAACATGATTTAAAATGAATCTGGTTTCCCCCTTTGCTTGTCAGAAGGTCGCAAAAGGGGATCATATGACCCTGGGATACTGCAACCGTCATAAATACAGTTGCCAAGTGCCCACGATTTGATCAAATGACCATGGGGATGCTACAACGGTCATAAGTATGAAAAATGAATTTTACAATAGCACTGGGAAAAAATATCATTGTTCTGGTAGGTTACTGGCAAGCTGAAGAGGACAATATTTGAAATGTATGCAAGCAACAATACATACATGCATTCCCGTATATTTCATGGGAAGATGAATCTTAGAACATATTCCAGAGCCTTGGTGGCATAGTGGTTAGAGTGCAGTACTGCAGGCCACTTCTGCTGACTATCAGCTGCCTGCAATTTGGCAGTTCAAATCCCACCAGCCTTCCGTCCTTCCAAGGTGGGTAAAATGAGGACCCAGATTGTTGGGGGCAAG